CCACCGAGACCTCCGAATCCACCGTAGCCTCCACCGTAGCCTCCACCGAATCCACCGAATCCACCGAATCCACCATAGCCGTAGGCGTTGGCCATGGCGACCAAGAGAAGAACGGCGAGCACAGATTTGTACATTGTCTGGGGAAGATGGGAAAAATATTACTAGCTTTATTATTTGTAGACATGGGATATTCTGTGTAGTTACTGTTGTCTAGAGAACTTGAGAGAAATTAATTTTAAAAGCTAATTATTGATAAAACTATTTAGCGAACATTTGCACTATAAACAAAACACACTCACCAAGATGTTTAGACTACGGAAAGATGACCGTCTCAAAAAACAAGGCAAGTAGATCTGCTTGGAAGAGACTGAATCGTGCTTTAACAAGACACCAACATCTGCTTATATACACAGTCTACAGCAGGAAGATGTAAGGGGAGATTATAAGACGTCATCGCTTGAGCTTAACTTGTCTTTCCTTTGAACTGATCTCAAATCTATGTGAATTCAATGATTTGTTAGCTAGCCAATAGTTTACCTATACTATATTGGTTTAGAAAATAACCATTATTACAACAACGCGATTTTAATTATTAACTATCGTAATTGAATTTGATAATTAAAATGTCACATCTTTTTACTGTCTCGTTTACGAAGTAGGCTATAGAGGAAGTATTGTAATGCTGCAAAATATCGAAATCAAGATTTTCACAAATCTCGACATTTTACACCTCAGTGAGTTGGAAAAACTTTGTTTGACAATTTTGTCTATGTGTGTGTGTGTGTGTGTGTGTGCGTGTGTATGTAAACACGACAACTTGAGTACAGTTATAGCTAGGTTGATGAAATTTCATATATAAGTATTAAATCAAATTTGTAGTTATGTTTTAACTTTTCAGCGGTTTCCGGTAACCTGAAGTTTAACTTATTCTACTTTTAGTTTTTCGAAAGCCTATAACATAGTACTGTTTCAGTTAGATTAAAAAAATTTCAAATAAAAGTACAAGATCTAATTCTCTGTCAAATTTTTAGTTGACCGTAAGAAATACTTTACGCTATTTCCGATTTCTCAAAAAAATGCAAATGAATTTATAAAGTACTAATATTCCGCAGTATTATACACATATTGTTCACTTGGTGCACAATTCTTTTTTCTACGAGATTCTAGTCTATTTAAGTATTATAATATACAAGAATATTCGAGAATGTTTAGGGGATATTAATATCCGCTTTCTGAATAATTAATTGAACTAATTTAATACATTTTTTGGCTTGAAATAAACTGCAAAATTTTTTTGAGAACCAGTCTCCGAATTTCTACTTAATTGATTACAACCGGTGAAAAAACGAAAGTAGATTAAGCTGTCGATACAGTTAGATGTTATGTTGTGGAGATTATCTCCAAATCCCTCCTGTCAATCAGAAATAAAGTTGTCCACTGACAAGTTAGGGGGACGGCGTGGCCTAGAGATAGAGCGCTACACTGCTAAGTAACCCGCAAGTCTCGAGATCTGGGCTCAAGTGAGTAGAACGTCCTTGAGTCCACGCAGCTCTTATGGGTACCTAACCCATGAGGGAAAAATTAAGGCGGCCGGGCATTGTGCTGACAACTCTATCCCTTCATATGCCGAAACAGTGAACTTCACTTGCTCCAATGGACAGTCAGGTTCGAAAAATGAAAAAAAAAAGTTTTTTTTACTGTTTGAATAACATATGCATTTGCAGTTAGCTATAAATATTGAACTTGCTATTGTTATTTCTGAAACTGAAAATAACTGTTAAAGACTCATATCGCTCAGTGGCCACCGTACTTTAAGTTCCCCACTGCATTGCTAGAGGCGTCAATGTATTCAGAATTCACATACTATAGCAACCAAAGCTTTTATGAAGGAAAGCAGATTAGTTTTATGTTCTTATTTTCAGTGCATTTTAAAGCTTCTCGCTATAAAGATTTGTTATATTTGTTTTATTGCACATGAATTAATACGTATATATATATATATATATATATATATATATATATATATATATATATATATATATATATATATATATATATATATATATATATATATGCCTTTGTAGACCTTGATCATATATATATATATATATATATATATATATATATATATTACATAATTTCTTTTCTGGGAGGGGGGGAGTGACTCCTGTACCATGAGGTACCGTACCGGGTGACACTCGACCTAGCGACGCCACTGGGATGGGGTCCGTACACTTGAATACGTCATAACAAGGACACGATTGACTCGTATATCTACAAAACCCAGTTCACGATTGACGCTGTTTACGGACGTGATAGAGTTTTACATTTCTCATTGTCTACTAATTAACTCTAATTGATTGATCAAGGTCGCCTCACCGCCCTGGGGACATCTGTCACGTGATTAGAATGATGACTGGATCACCCTGAAGTCACGTGACCTGTCATCTCACACCGTGACGGGACAAGCAGATCAACCAGTACCTTGTTGAGATGGATTAGTGAGGATTAAACTTCAGATTATCGATATGACTACAGGATTAAACTGGAGATTAGCAATATAATTACAAGATTAAACTCCAGATTAGCAATTTAATTATACGATTCAACTTCATATTATTTTTGTGATTAAAAGATAAAACTCCAGATTATCGTTTTGATTATATGATTAAATTCCAGATTATTGTTGTAATTATAGAATTAAACTCCAGATTATTGTTGAGATTATAGAATTCAACTCCAGATTATTGTTGAGATTATAGAATTCAACTCCAGATTATTGTTGAGATTATAGGATTTGATTCCTGATTATCGTTGTGTCTGTATGGTTAAATATGTCATGACTGTAATCAAGTAATTAATCTATTCACATATACATCCTATATGACAAAACGAAGTAACTGAACATGTATTTAAATCTGAGGTTGTATTTTAAAATTACCACAAGTTAATATGGACTTAGCTGTCAGCATAAAAGTTAAAGTAGAGTTTAAATACATAAGCTAATCAACATACGTTCTACAGCCTCTGCTTTCCCTGAATCGAATTATGCGCTCAACAGAGATGTGTTAACTGTAGGCCGTTTTACGAACTACACCCAGGATTCGCACTTAGCTTAATTAGCAATCACGTGATGTTATGGGCCAGTGACTAGTCTTGCTCACAGTCACATAACGACATTACCAGCTCCAACACTAACACAAATGTCAACACAGAGAACACAGCCATTTGTCGTAGCTCTTCATATGGGAGGATGGGATGGAGTGGTCTAGCGGTAGAGAGCTGGACTGCTAACCCGTAAGTCTCGAGTTCGAATCCGGGTTCAAGTCAGTAGACCGTCCCTGAGTCCACCCAACTCTGATGGGTACCTAACTTAAGTTAGGGAAAGTAAAGGCGGCTGGGCATAGTGCTGACCACACTGTCTCTTCATATGCCGAGGTCACAGAAACAAGTGAACTCTACTTCACTTACCCCATAGACCGTCAGGTTTGAAAGGGAAACTTTACTTTACTTACTTTTTACTTCATATGGGAGGGAGAAATTATCCAGAGCAGAGATGGTTAAAAGCCGCTACATTTAAAGTTCCCCACTACACAGTTAGAGACCCCACTACATTTAGTGTTCCTACTACATAGCTAGAGACTGACTAGACTTGACTTATCCCTTTGTGCCCCCTGGGGAGCAAAGTTCTGCAGCCACACCTCTCCACGGGACTCGTTTTAGTGCAGCTTCTACCGTTCTTCTCCACAATCTGTTAGGCCTTCCCAGGGGTATTCCATTCCATTCTTTCTTTGCAATATTATCTTTTCCCCTTCTCGTGGTATGTTGATCCAGCGCCTTTTTAGGATCTTGTCCTGCTGTAGACTAATCTGTCTTTTCTATGACCAAATTATGTACCTATGTCTATCTTTGGCATTAAGGTAATACTCAATCTCTACATTGCTACCCAGAATGACAACACAGGAATCCACAAGGTAAAAGAAAATTTGCCCGATGAAGAAAGACCACGAGATGTGACCTAGAAGACGACACCAAGAAGACTGGATACACCTAGGGACAGTTGGAGAGACTAGCCCAGGACACCTGGGGACAGTTGGAGAGACTAGCCCAGGACAGGATACACCTGGGGACAGTTGGAGAGACTAGCCCAGGACAGGATACACCTGTGGACAGTTGGAGAGACTAGCCCAGGACAGGATACACCTGGGGACAGTTGGAGAGACTAGCCTAGGACAGAGAGGCCTGACACCAAGAAGATTGGATACACCTAGGGACAGTTGGAGAGACTAGCCCAGGACACCTGGGAACAGTTGGAGAGACTAGCCCAGGACAGGATACACCTGGGGACAGTTGGAGAGACTAGCCCAGGACACCTGGGAACAGTTGGAGAGACTAGCCCAGGACAGGATACACCTAGGGACAGTTGGAGAGACTAGCCCAGGACACCTGGGAACAGTTGGAGAGACTAGCCCAGGACAGGATACACCTGGGAACAGTTGGAGAGACTAGCCCAGGACAGGATACACCTGGGGACAGTTGGAGAGACTAGCCCAGGACAGGATACACCTAGGGACAGTTGGAGAGACTAGCCCAGGACATCTGGGAACAGTTGGAGAGACTAGCCCAGGACAGGATACACCTGGGGACAGTTGGAGAGACTAGCCCAGGACAGGATACACCTGGGGACAGTTGGAGAGACTAGCCCAGGACAGGATACACCTGGGGACAGTTGGAGAGACTAGCCCAGGACAGAGAGGCCTGACACCAAGAAGATTGGATACACCTGGGGACAGTTGGAGAGACTAGCCCAGGACAGAGATGCCTGGAATGTTTTTTGTCATAGGCTTTTGTCGCGGGAACCTGGGGGGGGGGGGGGGGGGGGGTTGCGTGAGGCACGCGGATCTAACACATACATCTGCGACACGTAATAGTATCGTACATAAAACACTATTTTTATATTAATACAACTGCTTAATTACAATAAAAAAAATTACAAGTGATTTTTGTTTTCAAAATAAAATAATTTATTCCACTATAAAATCTGCTATTGTTTTAATAACTAGCTGCAAATAATCTTGCATTGTCGGTCAATTGATGAATCAGATCAATAGTAGTTGTTGTATCCCTTTCCTGGAAATAGAATAAATACAAGTTAGTTAAAATACTGAAAAAGTTACAGATAAATGCCTTGAGTTGATTAGCGTTCTTTTAATGTTTGTTATCATAGGCTAATGTTCATTGATCTTTATATTTTATCAGATCAATATGCGGCAAACTATATAGCCTCGTTCTAATTTTTTTTATGACAAGAATGGTGGTCTATGTATCTTCAATGATATTACTGTGTAAAGCATACAAATGAAATATATGTTTAAGAAAACTATTTTCATCTCTACTATAAATTTCCCTTTTTATGCAGCTTAGGCCTATACATTGAAAGGTAAATGAAAATTATCATTTACCGTAGATGACAGGGAGGTAACCGTGACCTCCTCCATGTCCGTAACCTCCGTATCCTCCTAATCCACCAAAGCCTCCACCGATTCCACCGAAGCCTCCTCCAATTCCACCAAAACCTCCTCCAATTCCACCGAAGCCTCCGATGCCACCGAAGCCTCCCAATCCACCAAAGCCTCCACCAAAGCCTCCACCGAATCCGCCCAATCCACCGAATCCACCGTAGCCGTAGCCACCTTGGCCGTAGCCATAGTTGCTAGCGAGGGCGGCGGTGGCCAAGAGAAGTACGGCAAAGACGGATGTGTACATGATCTGTGGAGACATAATACCAACGTAAGAAAAGAAGTACGGCAAAGAACATTGTGTACGCGATCTGTTTAGACATTACACCCATATTAAAACAGAAGAACAACAAAGAACGATGTTGTTTAGACAATCTGTGGAAAAACTATACCAACATAAAACACAATCTCATATACTATTTTATATCAATTTAACACTGAGTTGTTGTTGTTGTTTTTTGCGCTTGCGCTGTTTAGTTTCATTTTTTCCTAGACAGCCAACAAACAGTTTTGGCACAATATATTTGACAGTCTTGTAGAAATAAAAATATGTATAAATATACGAACACTTAAAAATATCCTTTTAAAACCTTTTAAATAAGGAAGTATCCAAAGACTTATTTTGAAATAGTTCTTACGCGCAGTTAGTCCATTTAATTCAAATCACAGATGAAAATATTTTGGACTTAATAAAATCGACATTTGAAATAAGTCACTTATTTCAAATGTCGATCTTCAACAAGTTGGTTTAATTATTTAAAAAATAACACAACTCCCGTTTGTGTTGGCTTAATAAATTTTCTAGAAACTGAGTGTTAAATATTAAACTAATTTTTAGTTTTTCAATGCGCTTTTACAAGTAATTTCATAGGATCTGTTAGAAACTGTAAGAAATTGTTGTTACTTTTTCAACTGCGCTCAGAATTCCAGAAATATACAGAAGTACTGGTGAAATAATACGAATCTCATATCGGAAAGACCTTTTCGCTTTTAACCAACTTGGTATTATTTTGGTTTAATGAAGTCTTATAAATTTTACAAAAGTAAATGGTTTAAATAAATCACAACGAACAATTAATGCTGTATTTGACTAAAAAAATTGTAGGTAACTAGACCTACAGATTTTTAGGTAATATTTAATCATTAAAACTCTACTCACTGCTGTAGCTGGACTAGAGTTGGCTGTTGAAGTGTGAGGTGTGTGGTAGCTGGTTTGGTCCCCACACTGGACAAACCAGATCTTTTATACACATTTTCTTTTCTGCTGGAGTGGGCCAGGGGCGAGCCGTTAAGTTGGTCTCATTAACACACGTCACTCACATTTACACTAATTACACTTACACTAATTACACTAATTACACTTTTTTGTTTCGTGTTCGTTTTAATTTTGACAGGTGAGGCTGACCGTGTCCTTCAAAAAAGTACACAAAAAAAAATGACATCCAATGACGTCATTTGTATCTTAATTTATATCTGGGTTTAGGTATCTTGTTTCTGTTGACTTCGTGGCTCCGTTAAGTTTGCATGAACGAAATCTTAGTACTAGAATTCGTGCTAGAAATCTTTTTTCATCTTCGTTCTTAATTTTTAGTGTTGGAAGGGATCCCCTCCAACACAATTAAGTATACGTGTCAACTTTATACCCCTTATGGGCCGTTGACTCAAATTTCAGCCAGCTTTTCTTTTTGGATTTGCTTCCATAGCCTTTGTCCAACCAAGTACAAACTACAAGGCAGCAGTTGTTTATTTTGGAGTTGTCTCTCTACTAGGAGAGTGGTTGTCTCCAGCTAACGAGCCTCATCTACCCAAGGGTTCGAACTCGAGACTTTCGGTTTAGCATTACTGATTTGTCAAAGCAGATACCTATGCTAGAAATAAACATGACCAATTTGAGATTCTGTGGGACGGCGTGGTCTGAAGGTAGAGCTTATGACTGTATACCCGATAGTCGTAGGTTCGGATCCTGGACTCGAGTTAGAAGGACGTCCCTAACCAGCTCTAGAGGGTACGTGGCTCACGTTAGGGAAACTAAGACGAGGTTACTTTAAACAGATGAACTCTACTTCATCCACTCCAAGTGTCTTTGTGACGAGCGGGAGACGATGGTTAATAATAACTTGAGATTCTGGTTAATGTAAAGACATAGTAGTAATTCTTATGAAAGGAAAAACAGCACCCAATACTAGGAACACAGCACTCAGCACTAAGCACTCAGCACTAAGCACTTAGCACTAAGCACTAATTACTGAGCACTAAGCACTCAGCACTAAACACTCAGTACTAAGCACTTAGTACTAAGCACTCAGCACTAAGCACTCAGCACTAAGCACTCAGCACTAAGCACTCAGCACTAATCACTATGTGCTAAGCTTTTACTGTAAAATGTTATTCATATTGATTAATTTAATTTGTCAGGGTAAAGTTTAAGGTTATGCAGTGGAGAGTTCGCAATTAGTTACAGTAAAGATAGACAACATAACAATACTTAAATTATAACCACTTAACGCCATTGACCTCACTCATATTTGTGTTCAGCTCCAGGTCATTTATATTTAGCCATTAAGTTAACAATTTCAGGTCATTTGTTTGTAGTTAATTATAGAGTCACAAATTCAGGTCAATTGTCTGTAGTTAATTAAAAAGTCAGAACTTTGGGTCATTTATTTAAAGTCAATAATATGGGCACATGTTACCAAAATTCAAAATCAAATAGCATGACGGTAGTTACACTTTTTGACATCAGATATAAAAACATCCTGGTCAAAAATGAGTTTAAAATCTCTGCAACTCAAGGTCATGTCAAATTAGACGTGACGTCAGTGACTAACTGCTTTTCGCTAACCAGGTAGAGATGGCTTGGACATGGAGAGCTGCAACGGTCAAATACAAACATGTATAATTCAGACAAGTCACAGTCAAATACAAACATGTATAATTCAGACAAGTCACAGTCAAATACAAACATGTATAATTCAGACAAGTCACAGTCAAATACAAACATGTATAATTCAGACAAGTCACAGTCAAATACAAACATGTATAATTCAGACAAGTCACAGTCAAATACAAACATGTATAATTCAGACAAGTCACAGTCAAATACAAACATGTATAATTCAGACAAGTCACAGTCAAATACAAACATGTATAATTCAGACAAGTCACAGTCAAATACAAACATGTATAATTCAGACAAGTCACAGTCAAATACAAACATGTATAATTCAGACAAGTCACAGTCAAATACAAACATGTATAATTCAGACAAGTCAAAGTCAAATACAAACATGTATAATTCAGACAAGTCACAGTCAAATACAAACATGTATAATTCAGACAAGTCACAGTCAAATACAAACATGTATAATTCAGACAAGTCACAGTCAAATACAAACGTGTATAATTCAGACAAGTCACAGTCAAATACAAACATGTATAATTCAGACAAGTCACAGTCAAATACAAACGTGTAATTCAGACAAGTCACAGTCAAATACAAACATGTATAATTCAGACAAGTCACAGTCAAATACAAACATGTATAATTCAGACAAGTCACAGTCAAATACAAACATGTATAATTCAGACAAGTCACAGTCAAATACAAACATGTATAATTCAGACAAGTCACAGCCAAATACAAACATGTATAATTCAGACAAGTCACAGTCAAATACAAACATGTATAATTCAGACAAGTCACAGTCAAATACAAACATGTATAATTCAGACAAGTCACAGTCAAATACAAACATGTATAATTCAGACAAGTCACAGTCAAATACAAACATGTATAATTCAGACAAGTCAAAGTCAAATACAAACATGTATAATTCAGACAAGTCACAGTCAAATACAAACATGTATAATTCAGACAAGTCACAGTCAAATACAAACATGTATAATTCAGACAAGTCACAGTCAAATACAAACGTGTATAATTCAGACAAGTCACAGTCAAATACAAACGTGTATAATTCAGACAAGTCACAGTCAAATACAAACATGTATAATTCAGACAAGTCACAGTCAAATACAAACATGTATAATTCAGACAAGTCACAGTCAAATACAAACATGTATAATTCAGACAAGTCACAGTCAAATACAAACGTGTATAATTCAGACAAGTCACAGTCAAATACAAACGTGTATAATTCAGACATGTCACAGTGAAATACAAACGCCACACCCCAGCCAACGGTCAAATACAAACATGTATGATACAGACAAGTCACACCCCAGCCAACGGTCAAATACAAACATGTATGATACAGACAAGCAGGGACGGCGCTACCTATTAGGCGAACTAGGCGGTCGCCTAGGGCGCCATCCTTAGTGGGGTGGGGCGCAAAAAGTTTAATCGCTATTATCTCTGACTTTGAATTAGAAATCTGTTATGGTGTATAGAGTTTTGTAATGACGGGGTGTTCAAAGTATTGTACTTGTTTGGTAAGTTTTGATGAATCGTTTAGATTTGGGAGTAACGGCGGAAGTCTGTTGCTAAAATGGTTTCGTAGGTATGATGTATCGAAGTGGTAAGTTTAAGTGTCGTCAATTTCATTTGGTTGTTGTGTAATTGAAGGTCTATTGGAATCTGATTAGTAATAGAGAAATGAGAATGTAGGTGATGAGGTATCGTAGTTCTGGAGTTTAGGACTATCAAGTCTTGTGGTATTAAATGTCGAATTGTGTTGACTGTTAACGTGTAGTAATAGGTCCTGTTAAATCGTTGTTGATTGGGAGTATCGTTTGTAGAGCTTTGGTGAAGTTAGTTAAGGTGGTGTCGTAGTTCTGGAGCATCGAGTCTAGTTATGTTTAGGTATCGAAGTTTTATATGTGTTGTGAGTGTATATCGAGTAGTCGAGTTTATCATATGTTAAATTAACTTAAATCATTTAAATTCAGGACGGAACACACTACAAAGAAAGGTAGGCGTTCTCTAGCTGAAAAATCTTTTAACTTAAAATCTTATAACTAACAGTAAACTTGGTGTTTTCAAATTATTAGTTTTTAGATTTAATCAATAATTAGAGCAATGTCTTGAAAAGCTACCCGTATAAGATTTTTTCGAAAGGCGTCCTTTTATTTAGGGCAGGGGTCTCCAAACTTTTCAGTCCGAGGGCCGCATTAACTATCAAATTTCAGTTCGGGGCCAGTTTTTTCCAGACATGTCTTTTATTTTTATGCGCAAAGTTCCTCAGCCATCACCAACAAACGATTTTTCCTTGGACAAAGGGATCTCCGCGGGCCGGATGAGGGGACTTCGCGGGCCGCCGGCCCGCGGGCCGTAGTTTGGAGACCCCTGATTTAGGGGGTCCCTTTTTCTTTTTTTTTTTTTTTTTTTTTTTTTAAAAAAAAATAATATTTAGGCGATCCCAAAATTTGTATAATAACGATTTATGAAGTTATAGCTGAAGTATGATACATTTGAATGTCATCAAAATTGACTAAAAGTATGTTATAATAAATCAACCGTGTTTAAACTTTCAAACAAAGCCTACAGTTAAGTAGTTAATGAGTAAAATATATTTTTAGAAACAGTTAAATAGCTTACATAAAATATTTGTTACAATTATCACCTAAATAAATTTAAAGCGTTTTATTGTGTTTTTAAGTCTTAGTTACACTTGGTTAATTTAGCTATTCTTGAGAAAGTTATTTCCCTTGAATAAAATTTTGGTATTTGGATATCCGAAAGGGAGATAATTCATAGATTAACTTTGCATTCATTTCAAATGTATGTACCTTAGGTTGACCGCTTATCAGTGGCGGAACTAGAAAAAAAGGTCCACCCCGCAAAAAAAAAAAAAAAATTGACCCCCCCCCCCCACTTATATATATATATATATATATATATATATATATATACACAAACAGAATACGAACATATGATATTCAGTTCTGGCCTGATCGGGTTTTTGTTTTATCCAGCATGTGTAACATAACTACTTGAGTAGATCTGTTTGTGACGAAGGGGGTGGGGAGGTAAAAATCGTCAAAAAGAAAAAGCTTGACGTCATTTATGGATGACCCTAAACAAAAATAGGTAAACGTACATACAACTGAAATTATTTTTATTATATTATTTTTTTTTATTTGTAGAATACATGATAGTACAGATTAGTAGTTCTATCAATACTTTGTACAATCCCAATGGATAAAGAAGCAATAGTCGTCTTAATATCTAGCGGCCTATTTTCAAAAGAATTTTGCCGACAACGGCGTGTGTTTGATTGTAGAAGAAACATGACTCGGCTTTCACAATGGTTTAAAAACAAAGGGAAAAAGAATATACAAGAGCGTGGGATGGTGTCAGTAGAATAAAAACAATTCAACCGCAGCTACAGTTATCTTTTTACAAAACAACCATCAAGTAAAAATGCAAGAAACTTAATTTTTTTTCAAATAAATGGCGTGCCGCCCCCCCCCCCCCCCCCCCCACCCGCATTGCCGGTTCTGGCGACACTGTAGTTCCGCCGCTACCGCTTACTTATAAATACAACTTTAAGTTATTATTTGCTATAGTAAAAAATTATATAGAGCAGAAGTTCTAAACAAAATAGTTTGGTAGGTCTTTTTAGCATTATCACGTTGAAAAATAAATACATCAATAGCCGTCGTGGATTGCAATATTTAATGTTAGTAGACATACAGTGACAAAAGCGTCAAACATCGCCCTAGTCGTAAATTAATAATCTAATTAATTTTAATTTTTCATATTTTTCACCCTCTCCTAAAGGATTCATGTATAACAATTGTAGGCTGGAATCTATAACATTAATAACCTTTTATTTTTCAAAAAAAAAATTGTTACATAATCACACAATATAGACATTTTACAATTATAACTAAAGACGGTCAAGCTTAAAATATGTGTTCCGTTCTGGAACTCACTTTGGGAGGTCTGCGGAGAGCCCAATACTACAAGAACTGTGGGTTTTTCTTTTCAGTGGTTTATTTTCCAGACTTTGTTCTCCCGGAGGGGGTGGGGGAAAGAACAGGTGAATTTGCAACAATTTCAATAGAATCTGATCAGAGTTTCTTCTAAATGGAATTCATACAGAAAATATATAAACATTGTCCGCCCCCCCCCCCCCCGGAAATTTCATTTCCCACCACCACCCCCCCCCCCCCCGGAGAAAAAATGTCTGGAAGCAACACTGAATGTGACTACGCTTGCAAACTGGAGTTGAAGGAATCAGTACAAGCTTTTGAGACGAAGGAGGCAAGTACAATTTTATTTTGATGTCTACTTATAACGTGTAAGCTATTGATAATAAATTAATGTCACTTTTAATTAATTGTTTTCTTATAAATATGTTTTAGTAATTAATTTGTCTGAAAGGGGGCGTTTTAATAAGTTTTGCTTAGGGCGCTAAATAACCTGGCGCAGGCACTGCAGACAAGCCACACCCCAGTCAAATACAAACGTCACACCCCTGACCACGGTCAAATACAAACGTCACATCCCTGACCACGTCAAATACAAACGTCACACCCCTGGCCACAGTGAAATACAAACGTCACACCCCTGGCCACAGTGAAATACAAACGTCACACCCCTGGCCACTGTAAAATACAAACGTCACACCCCTGGCCACAGTGAAATACAAACGTCACACCCCTGGCCACTGTAAAATACAAACGTCACACCCCTGGCCACAGTGAAATACAAACGTCACACCCCTGGCCACTGTAAAATACAAACGTCACACCCCTGGCCACTGTAAAATACAAACGTCACACCCCTGGCCACAGTGAAATACAAACGTCACACCTCAGCCAACGGTGAAATACAAACGTCACACCCCTGGCCACAGTGAAATACAAACGTCACACCCCTGGCCACAGTGAAATACAAACGTCACACCCCTGGCCACTGTAAAATACAAACGTCACACCCCTGGCCACTGTAAAATACAAACGTCACACCCCTGGCCACTGTAAAAAACAAACGTGTAGGATTCAGACAAGTCACACCTCTTTCAAAATACGAACAAATTCGATTCATGCACAAACAACTTTATAGTCCAATACGAACAAATAATATGAATAGAACACAAACGAGACAGAGTTTATGAACGTGTGAAAAATTTGATCATTTGGTGTCAAGCATTAATACAAAGTTGTATTTTTTTTAAATGTAACCAAAAAGGGAAGCAACTCAAATACACAATAATGGACTTACGTTGTATAAAAAATAAAATAAAACTCTTTTATTGTGAATATTAAACTATTTTTAAAAATGTGAACTTTAAAAAATATTTAAAGAGAACAGTATATTAGAATTCTACGCAATCATCTACAATTACGCATATATAATTTCATTTCTTAACCATTTCATTAACAGATACTAATCCCTCAAATTAAAATTGTCATTCAACTGTCAAATTCGACATGGGGCATGTCATGACGATCTAGCCTTGTCAAGACCTGTCAATCCCCCACGTGCCCCCTCTCACCCCCCCCCTAATCCCCTGTGACGTTGATTACCTGGCCAGTACCCCCTGTGACTTCCTAATTGGCCCAGGTGTATATAAGCCCGGTCACTGTAAGGGCCCAGTCACTCATCGACTCCACAACGTGATCTGACCAGATCTCCTTGCCACAGGTTCCAAGACCGCAAGTCTAAAAATCTCGGTACGTTTTTTTTTTAAAAAATACAGTTGTTGCTCAACGTGGTTGGGGGTTAGAGCACTTGGCTGATAGTCCGCAGTGTTGAGTTCGGATCTCGGTCCGTACTTGGGACTGCAGGACATGTAAAGCTCTGATGAGTACCTGACTCAAGTTAGATTAAGTAAAGACGGCTGTAAATAGTGCCGACCACGCCATCCTTTATATACCGTGGTCAAGAACCATGAATTCTACTTCATCTGCTGTGTAACCCTTAGAAGAAGAGTTTTTTCATGAACCTACTCAGATTATACAGAATAAATATATATCTATTTAGAAAACTGTGTAGTGTTGATAAAAAACGACAGGAAATTAGCTTCACACTTTTTTTTTAAATATTCTATTTAGTTACAATATTTCTTTTCAAAAGCGTCTGTCAGATTTATTTTGCATTTAACTTAAATTTTAAATGTACGGTTCTATATTTGTTAAAGTTAATGTAACTGTACTTTATATATTGTTTAATGGGCTTTATTTAAAAACTAAATTCCTTCAAAAAGGATTCAAATTTAAAAAAAAAAATCTGTTGATTTTAGTTAGATTGAATAATTCATTAACTAAAACAATATTTCTACCAAAAGTTTAACTTTATATTAATTTTAGCAACAGTATAAAGTAGTTGAGGTGTAGTTACCAGCTTGTAATTATCGTCAATTACTTCCTACAACTGCTCCAATTAGTTTCTACAACTTGTACAATTACTTCATATAACTGCTACAATTACTTCCTACAACTGCTACAATTACTCCATATAACTGCTACAATTTTACTCCATACAACTGCTACAATTACTCCATAAAACTGCTACAATTACTTCCTACAACTGCTACAATTACTACATACAACTGCTACAATTACTCCATACAACTGCTACAATTACTTCCTACAACTGCTACAATTACTACATACAACTGCTACAATTACTACATACAACTGCTACAATTACTTCCTACAACTGCTACAATTACTTCCTACAACTGCTACAATTACTCCATACAACTGCTACAATTACTTCCTACAACTGCTACAATCAATTCATACAACTGCTACAATTACTCCATACAACTGCTACAATTACTCCATACAACTGCTAGAATCAATTCATACAACTGCTACAATCAATTCATACAACTGCTACAATTACTTCCTACAACTGCTACAATTACTTCCTACAACTGCTACAATTACTTCCTACAACTGCTACAATTACTTCCTACAACTGCTACAATTACTACATACAACTGCTACAATTACTACATACAACTGCTACAATTACTTCCTACAACTGCTACAATTACTTCCTACAACTGCTACAATTACTACATACAACTGCTACAATTACTCCATACAACTGCTACAATTACTTCCTACAACTGCTACAATTACTTCCTACAACTGCCACAATTACTACATACAACTGCTACAATTACTTCCAACAACTGCTACAATTACTTCCTACAACTGCTACAATTACTACATACAACTGCTACAATTACTACATACAACTGCTACAATTACTTCCTACAACTGCTACAATTACTTCATACAACTGCTCCAATTACTCCATACAACTGCTACAATTACTTCACACAATGTCATTCTATACGTGTGAATCTTGTATAATCCAATGCGGATACATTCCATATCACTTTTTTAATTAATGTAATTAATGTAATTAATATAATTAATGTTTAATACGTCTCCCAGACAATGTACAAATCTGTGCTCGCCGTTCTTCTCTTGGTCGCCATGGCCAACGCCTACGGCTATGGTGGATTCGGTGGATTCGGTGGAGGCTACGGTGGATTCGGTGGTCTCGGTGGATTCGGCGGTCTTGGTGGATTCGGCGGTCTTGGTGGATTCGGCGGTCTCGGAGGTCTTGGTGGATGGGGAGGTCTTGGTGGAAACTGGGGAGGATACGGCTACGGAAAAATCCTCATCCCAGTGGGAGGCTACTATGGTAAGATTGACCTATTATAGAGAGCTTAGTAGTTTTGTTTAGATAAAGTGTCTTTTTATACTATACAATTTTAAAATTCTTGATTGCACGTACATGTGTATGTGTAGATGTAAAGTTTAAGTTGTTTTATAATATAACATTTTAAGTTCTTGTTTTTTTTAAATAACATTTTAAGTTGTTTTTTCTTTAAATATAACATTTTAAGTTGTTTGTTTTTAAATATAACAGTTTAAGTTTTTTTTTTAAATATAACATTTTAAGTAGTTGTTTTTTAATTTAAAATTTTAAAGTTGTTTTTTTAAAACATAATTTTTAAGTTTTTTATTTAAATATAACATTTTAATTTTTTTTTTAAATTTAACATTTTTACTTGTTTTTTTTAAATATAACATTTTAAGTTAACTTTAACCATTCAAATAGTCACATAATTTACTTGATTTACTTATTCCACAGGCAAGGGAAACTACTACTATTAAGAGAAAATTCATAACATGAGGATATGTTTTCTCTTTATTTTTGTGATTGTTACTTTGTCTAATAAATATTCATCCAGAAAAATGAATAATAAACTATAGTAATAAAAAAAGAAAATAGTTTAATACCCGCCTGTTTGTTTTCAAAGTTGTCAATTTTTTAATTGAACTTTTCACCCCAGTAATGTTTGTAATTTAAAAACTTAATAAATGTCACGTTCTATTATTGTGAATAGCATAGAAACATTAAATGGCACGAATATTTCGCAATCATTTCAAAAATATAAATATCTCATAATTAATATTGATGATTCTAATAAAAAAAATTTTAATCATATTATTTACAAGAAAAGAAAAATACAACCTAAACATTCATAAGTTTAGTTTATTCATAGCAAAATTCAAATATAATATGTTGGTGCGATAGAACATAATACAGTAAAAGTTGCTTAAAATATGACACAATGTTAATAAACAAAAACCATATCATGTATATGTCAATCAATACATTTTCTCAACTTTAAATTAAGTAAGCAATGGGCAATTTGTTTTACCTCTCTAAAAACCTACAACATGGAACAAAACTGCTTTTTTACGTCGCTTTAAATTTGATATAGTAAATATTTTACATTACATTTTCATTTTAATGTATTAACATATGCAAAGTATTTTGATATTCTACCGTCCCCAACCTAACCTACTAAAAATATTAGAAGGCCAAAATGAAAAACCAGTTATTATGACAAGATATTACAACAATACAAATAAAGAATTGTTTTTAAAATTCATGTATATTATACATCTAGTACTGCCCCATTCTGCCCATTTTAAACATTGAATAAAGCTAATAATAAAAGCGAAATGACAGAATAATAAAAATGCAATATATATATATATATATATATATATATATATATATATATATATATATATATATATATATATATATATATATATATATATATATATATATATATATATATATATATATATATATATATATATACATATATATATAAGGTATATTAAAGTCACAGAGGGATAGGAAACACCGGCTCTCACTGGCAGCACATCACCAATCAACATCTATTTTGGAATTCATATCACTAGTTCTAAAACAACTCTCAACAACGGAAAATTCTTTGTTTTTATGTAACATCATATCAATATCTTCTTTATCGTTTTATAAATTCTACTATAACAAGGTTAAAAAAAAACATTTTTTTAACACAAGACGTCCCTATTCCTCATGTAATTTTTTTTTATATTGTACCTAAAATATTAGTTAAATTTAATTAAAATAAATCACAAAAATGGAATGATAAAATGTTATCATGAGATATTTGCACAAGACAAAGCACAGCTATAACATACATTATTTTGACATGCAATATTCAAAATGCAGATTAAGATATATAATTCAAAATGAAACAAAGAATAATATTTAGTAATGTTGAAATGACAGTCATACACTGAAGTAAAGCGGGGAATATTTTTTAACAAATGGATGTAAATGTGATCATGATTAAAGATTTGAGTCTTCTTGGTTTTCTTCATGCTCCTCGTCTACTTCCTCTCTTATTTCATCTTCTGATTCGTCGTCATCTTCATCGTCGCTTCTCATACACGTTATAAATTCTGTCGGAATTTTTTTTATTATTATTTTTAAATTTGATTGTTTAAATAGAGCATTTACAACAATATATGATCCACATATAAGCACGCAGTAAAAATACATAAAAACATAGAGATAATCACTTAGAAGACATACGACAGACATACACACAAGCACACATATGCTATAAAAAGGGAGACAACAATAGACATATATATATATATATATATATATATATATATATATATATATATATATATATGTAACGAGCGAACATTTATCCTGCCGACAACGCCAATTGTAACGAGCCAACAGTTACCATGCTCGCAACGCCACATGTAATGAGACCTAATTGCCTGTAGTGCCACGTGTTCACGAGTTTAACCACTCATTCTAGACAACATTGACCACAGTATAGATACTCAAGATGCAGGTTCGCTATTGATCCTTTATTACATGAATCAAGAAATGCTTCATAATAACACAATAAATCAACAGGAATGCTTCTCAATAATAGTCTGAATCAACTGACCCCTAACAGTCCTTCACTAGGCTTTATATAACTGAATCCACATGTCTATAATCCTCCTTAACACAATACGGCTAACCCGTTCTATAACCGACTTGACATAGTCACACAGACTGACTGATCTAAGCGAGCGATGAAGGAGGCAAGAGCCTCGAAACGGGAAGAGAGAGAACGAGTCCTGCCGTGCCCTCCTATTTATGCCTTGTATCCGTACTCGTCTCCGTACTTGTATTCCTCCGTAATCGATACTTGTACTCGATCTCCGACCACCAGTTGCGTAGTTCAAACGTACAGACCGTAAAATAACATCTGCGTCCTATCCATCAAAGTTGACAGGCCGTCTGAATACCGTTTCCCAAAATAGCACGCGTTGGCTTTGAGGTTGTTATCAGCCCGACCCAATAAGCCACCTGTTATCGGTTGCATCAGACCAACACTGTGTCTCGGCTTCTCGTTCGTTATCATTTGTAACTGGTAGTTAGGCCTACCCCAGTTACATCTACCCCTGCTTTTTTTGTGTGTTTTCAACCACAAACAACGCCTGGCAGGTGCACTCCTCCAAAGTCAATCGCACAGTCGTAAAAAAAAAAAAAAAATCTATTGTTCCACTCACTGTCCACGACGTTCCATTCGTATACGATTGACAGTTCTACCTATTTCACATATCAACTGTGTCTACATCATCTTTCTGAGACACAAAACAGTTCTAGAATTCACATCCACCCTTTCCATTTGGTGCCTTCACCAGTTCACTTCTATAGCTCTTTGAACAGTCTGTTTTCATACCAGCGCGACCATGAAAGAATTGATGGTTGCTGACAAAAAATTTCGTATTCCTTCTGTTCCTTAAACTTCTCCGCGGACCACTTATCTGATGGTCTACTGTCTCTCTGCTTCTGGAGGGACCGGGATCCTCATTGTTGCCGGTATCCTCCCCTTGCGTATCGCTGTTGTTCTGTTGATGGTGATATGGTTCCGGAATGGGTATGTGAATTTCCGTTATAACTTCCGGTTCCCTAATTGTCTTGGGTTTCTCTGTGTGTAACTGCTCTTGTTGCCTATTCCAATATTTCTTTAATTGAGCAATATTCGCCCACCGATCCGGTTTGGCGTGATTTAGGCATCTCCACGACTTGCCATATCTCCTGTCCCCAGAGATTGTGGATTTTGTTTCTGCCTAACGGGTGGCTACGCAGTAATACCCTGTCATTCAGTTTGAGTGGCGGGTCCTTCGTCTGTATCGGCGGTTCCCTTCGCCGTGCTTCATGTTCTAGTCTTTCCTGTACTACCCTGTACATTTCTCTAATTCTTCTCATATGTTCATTCACATATTCCAGTGCGGTGTATGAGCCAGTCATACTCTCCCTTTTTCCTAGGAACAAATCAAGAGGGAGTCGAGCCTCTCGTCCGAACAGCAACATGTATGGCGAAAAGCCGGTTGTGGCATGTGGTGTGCAGTTGTATAGATATACCAACTCTGGGAGAAAATCAGGCCAACGTTTTTTCTGTTCAGGTTCTAGCGTACGCAGCAAATCATGCATGCTGCGGTTGAACCGTTCACACTGTCCGTTTCCTTTCGGATTAAATGTGGTTGTTCTAGATTTGTTGATCCCGTAGTGGTTGCACAGTTGGTTAATTACTTCTGACTCAAAGGCCCTTCCTTGGTCAGAGTGTAATTGTCTTGGTATGCCATATTTGATGAACCAATGTTGTAATAAGACCTTTGCCACTGTTTTGGCAGTCTGATCTCGTGTGGGCACCGCCACAGTCCATTTGGTGAATACATCAGTCATTACCAACACATGTTCCGTCCCATCCGATGATTGCTCCAACGACGTAAAGTCCATAGCCACAATCTCTAGTGGTTTTGTCGCTAGTAGGTGTCCTGATGGCTGTCTCATTTTGACAACTGGCATTTTCGCATGCTGACACCTCACACAAGCCTCACAATGGCGTTTGACCTCCATTTCCATATTGGGCCAGTAACACCTCCGTCGTAATATTTTGTGGGTTCTGTCCTGACCCTGGTGTCCTGCCCTGTCATGTGCCAACCTTAGCACTTCTTCTCTTAACTGTCCAGGCACCACCACCTGGTGTATTGTCCCATCAATTTGGTCATGAATTCTCCGTATGAGAACACCATCCTCTATACTGAGACGGTCCCACTGACTCAGTATTTTCTTTGTTTCTCGACCAAATTGTTCTCTTTCCCTTCTTCCTGGGAATTTTTGTTCCTGGACGTGTTTCAATAGCGGTTGTAAGCCACTATCCGTTCTCTGGGCATCTCTTATCTTTTGGTGATTAAGGCAATTAAAATCACTACTGTCCATATGTTCGGGTTCCGTGGATATGTGCTCCACCCCGGTCTGCCCGTTTTGCATCACTTGTACCCCATGAGGGATATCTGTTGACGCTCTGACCTCACATATTCCTGTCAGTGTTTCTTCCTCATCACCCGGTCTCTCGTAAGGATTCCTTGATAAGGCGTCCGCATTGCCATTGGACCGCCCCGGGCGATACTTTATCTCTAGGTCAAAGAGTGCCAATTCTGCTGCCCATCGCTGTTCGATGGATCCCAACTTTGCTGTCTTTAGGTGACTCAAGGGGTTATTGTCAGTGTATACCACACATTTAGCACCTAATAGATAGTCCCTGAATTTTTCCGTCACAGCCCATTTTAATGTCAAAAGTTCTAGTTTCATGGCGCTGTAATTTGTCATGTTCTTCTCTGATCCCTTCAGAGCTCGACTGGCATAAGCAATAACCCTGAAACCTTGCTTTTGTTGTTGTGATAGCACAGCTCCCAGACCTTTAGAGCTGGCGTCAATTTCTAGCCGAAATGGTTTGTCAAAGTCCGCGTATCCCAATATCGGCGCCTCTGTCAAAGCCTTTTTCAAGAGCTTAAACGAGTTCAGGCATTCATCAGTCCATAATTCACCTATCAGTTGTGTTTTACCTTTCTTTTTCTCCTTACTGTGTTTCTTTGTCATTTTGTTTACCAAGTCATGCAATGGTGCGGCAATTTTTGCAAAACCCGGCACAAATTTTCTATAATAGGAAGCAAAGCCCAAGAATGACCTGACCTCTACCGTAGTTGTTGGTTGTTTCCATTCTTTAACAGCTGCAATTTTATCTGGGTCAGTGGCGATGCCATCCGACGAAATCACGTAACCCAAAAAATGTACCGATTTCAAACCAAAGCAGCATTTGTCTGGGTTCAGCTTTACTCCTATCTCCCTAAGACGGAGAAACACTTGTTCTAATCTTTTTAGATGGTCCTCCCAAGTTTTTGAGTAAACTAGAATATCATCCAAATACACCAACATTATTTGAAATAGAAAGTCACTCATAGCACTCTGCATTACTCGCTGGAATGTAGCAGGTGCATTAGTTAGACCAAACGGCATACGGGTCCACTCGTACAGTCCCAGTGGAGAAATAAATGCAGTTTTATGTTGATCGTTGGGGTGCATGGCCACTTGGTGGTAGCCACTGGCCAAATCCAAGGTAGAAAAAAATCTTGCTCCCCCCAACGCATCAAGACATTCATCAATACGAGGCAAGGGGAATGCATCCCTTCTTGTGATATTGTTCAATTTCCGGTAATCACAACACAGTCTTATCTCCCCTGACTTCTTTTTTACCACTACAATCGGTGCCGCATATGGGCTCGTACTGGTTGTAATAATTCCCTTTTTTAGTAGATCGTTCAGGTGTGCTTTCACCGCAGAGTAGTGACTTGGTGGCAATCTTCGATAAGGTTGCGCCACCGGCTTGTCTTGTAGTAAGGGTATCTGGTGTTTTATTACTTCCGTGTACCCCAAATCACCCTCATACGAGGCAAATATATCACTGTATTTATTCAGCAATTCATTTAGTTTTGGGTCCTCAGTTTCCGGGAATGTATATGATCGGCCATCTTCTTTCTTCACCTCGGCCGTCACATTGACCGACCTAATTGTTACTTCATTACTACTGGTATTGATCAGTTCGATGCACTGTGCCGACCTTTGTACCTCGACGTTCTGTGGTACTCCTACCAGAGTGTTAGGCGGTATAAAAATTTCTTCATCCAAAACATTTGCTACCAACCCTTGAACTAGTCCGTTTTCCGCTGATGTGTATGTCCGCAGTAACACGACGCCTGCCCTCAGTGCGGCGCCACATGGTTCTATCATCACATCACCATTCACACTTCTATCACCAATTTTTAATGTGATTGCCTTGACCGTGTTTGCCGGGACTGATATCCTTCCTCTGGTCTTGGCAAACCTGGCCAACTTGGATCCCCGACCTGGTGTGGTCGATCCGACAATATTTGTAAGAAATTCTGGCAACTGGCCAAGAATATTCATGCCCAACAGGCAAGGTATATTTGACACATTTGTCTCTAGGTTGTGTTTCGTAACGAACACCCCAACCTGCTTCAACCTATGTCCTGCCACCACGACATCCGCCAGAAAATAACCACAGTATGGAATGGTTAGTCCATTAGCTGCCGTTAGGCGCATGCCTGTGTCAGACCTCAACCTATGGTCTTTTCCTTTCATCCATTTGGTGTAAAAATTTTCCGTAATTGTCGTCACCTGGGAGCCTGTATCCACAATTGCCTTCACCGCGATGTCCCCAATCGTAATCACCATTTCGGGACAGACTCCCATCATTTTGCTTCTTGGGCCATAACCTCGCCCCTCTGTAGCCTGGCCCTGCCTTACAGAGGACGACCGTTTCCCTGGCAGTACCGTGCCATATGTCCGGGTTGTGAACAAGACAAACAAATTGGTCGACCGTCTGCCGTCCATTGGAGTGATGGCTTGGCAGGACGCGGCCGTCCAACCCGTCCCCGTTTTGTACCGTTCTTTTCCTGATTCTCAGCTGTTGACCTGCTTTCCAACCACTTCAAGCGTTGGTCAACCTTCTCTAGGTGGGCCAACAGTTGAGCCATCATGGTCTCCATCGTGTCGGCCCCTGTGGGTGGGGATTGTCTCTGTTCAGGCACAGAGACTTTGTCCACCGAACAGTTCGATTGGTCCTCATCCTCGGACCTGCGGATCGCTGAGTTCCTGACCTGAAGGAAGGTCAACTGCTGGTCTCTGTGGACCTCCTCTTTCAACTCTCTCCTTAAGATCGGGGTTGCTAGCCCCTCGATGAAATGGTCCCTCAGTAGGCGTACATCAATGTCCGGTGATTTGCCCTTTACCAAATCAAAGGCCCTGTTCATCCTGTGTGAGTACTCCATCACACTCTCCGCCATTCTCTGCTTTAAGCCCACGAATCCCGATAGCAGTTGCACTCCCGACCGTCTCTCCCCAAAGGTCTCCATAATCAGATCTAGCACCTTATCTGGATCTGATTGGACGGTCCTATCGTGGCACTTAACCTCTGCCCTAACCGTTTCACCTATACTGCCCATCAGCAGTCTTAATCTTTCCTCTGGTGACATATGTCTCGAGGCCCAGGCCGCTTTGACCTCTTCACTGAACCTGTTGGTTAAAGTTGGATCTCCGTCCCCGTAAAATTTGTTAATATGGGACTCTCTGGGTAGGACCACTATATGGGTCTGCTTCTCGTCCAGAGTAGACATTTTCTTCCTTAAGTACTAAAAAAAAAGAGTTCTTTCTTACCGTGTGTGTATGAAAAATTTTTCCTCGTTCCTCAATTTTCACAGTTCCTGAATGTCCGAATTCACACACACACTAAACACAGTTATGCACAAGGTTGACTATAGGTGCCTTAAACGGCAAGTCTAGTTGAATTCACCCTGTTCGCAGCGCCAATTGTAACGAGCGAACATTTATCCTGCCGACAACGCCAATTGTAACGAGCCAACAGTTACCATGCTCGCAACGCCACATGTAATGAGACCTAATTGCCTGTAGTGCCACGTGTTCACGAGTTTAACCACTCATTCTAGACAACATTGACCACAGTATAGATACTCAAGATGCAGGTTCGCTATTGATCCTTTATTACATGAATCAAGAAATGCTTCATAATAACACAATAAATCAACAGGAATGCTTCTCAATAATAGTCTGAATCAACTGACCCCTAACAGTCCTTCACTAGGCTTTATATAACTGAATCCACATGTCTATAATCCTCCTTAACACAATACGGCTAACCCGTTCTATAACCGACTTGACATAGTCACACAGACTGACTGATCTAAGCGAGCGATGAAGGAGGCAAGAGCCTCGAAACGGGAAGAGAGAGAACGAGTCCTGCCGTGCCCTCCTATTTATGCCTTGTATCCGTACTCGTCTCCGTACTTGTATTCCTCCGTAATCGATACTTGTACTCGATCTCCGACCACCAGTTGCGTAGTTCAAACGTACAGACCGTAAAATAACATCTGCGTCCTATCCATCAAAGTTGACAGGCCGTCTGAATACCGTTTCCCAAAATAGCACGCGTTGGCTTTGAGGTTGTTATCAGCCCGACCCAATAAGCCACCTGTTATCGGTTGCATCAGACCAACACTGTGTCTCGGCTTCTCGTTCGTTATCATTTGTAACTGGTAGTTAGGCCTACCCCAGTTACATATATATATATATATATATAAAGAAAAAGACAGGCAGGGATATCCAAATAGAACAAGACAGAAACACACACAGACAGACACATGGGAATAAATAATTATATACAGAAGTCGGGAGCAGAAACACATACAGAAATTTAGAGAAGGCAGTCACGCAGACAACAGACCGACATTGACCCTCCTACCTTCAAAATCGATTCTGCCATCCCCATCAATATCAACCTCAGCGATCATCTCATCAACTGTCAACAATGGAAACAACATCACGTGATCTCACGGAACCAGTACATGCAGGGTTTCATTTTTTTACAAATACAAACTAATCTAGCTAGACAGTAATGTTATAGATGATTTGTATCTCTTGGTACCAGAGATATGTTTTACACCTTATGCTACTCGATCTATATAAGTTAAGTTCCCCTTTCAGATCTAACGATCCATAGGTCAGCACTTTACCCAACCGCCTTAACTTTCAGGAAACATGAGCCAGGTACCCATCAGAATTGAGTGGGCTCAGGGACGTCCTGCAGTCGAGCGCTCTACCCCTCGACCACGCCATCCCACTACCCAATTCATTTAGCTCGTATTAAATTTTATTTTATCCAACCGATCTATTTACCAAAACATGTCAATGATAAAATAAAAGTTATGTTGTTAAATTGTATTCCAAGTGTGTGCCTATGCATTTGTTTATGCATGTGTACTTAGTTAAATTTAACATTTTACTTCATTGCTTTGATTCTTAGTGCATTTAGTTCTGTACAAGGGAAAAAACTTATCTTCCGCTAATCTTTGTAAAAGTTTAAACTGGCTATGGTAATATCTATCAATTTTAAACATCAATGGCAGTGCTGTCTTATCTCTACCATCACTATAGGGTACACAGCGAGCAGAGTTTCTTCCAGGCTTTTGTTCAGGGGGGGAGGGGCAAAGCCTCCCCCCTCCCCCCGAAAATTTTTTACCGCTCCGGAGAAAAAAAGTCTGGAAGAAACACTGACAGCGAGATAATAAATGGATTGACATGCAAGTTAAGAACTAGGCCTTCTATGATCATTAATTATGCTTAGCGAAAACAACAACAATTTTTGTTGAAAATGTTTCTAATAATGTATTGCTAAACACGTAAATAATCAATTTTACTGAAAAAAAAAGTTGTATAGCTTGCTTAACAAAGAACAAAGAGAAATAATTGTATCCTTTTTAAATTTAATAATTTATCCGAGTTACTGTTCCTGCGTGTCTATTTTCTTGCTTTATTTCTATTTCTTATGTGTTCGATTGCATAACCCCAAGCAGGATCTATTTTTGTAACACGTGCAAGCTTTACCGCACGGATCAATTTTTGCAACAAGGGTGGGGGGGGGGGGGTTGAATCTTCATTCGTTCATCCTGTCACATCACTGGCAGTCATAACATAACGTGTTTAATGGATTTTCTTAAGAGATAGGTTTATCTGTAGCGTTACTGATACAACTACGTACGTTAGCAACAAAACATATTACGTCACTGAGAGTTTCTTTCAAGCATTTCTACTTCGCCCCCCCCCCCCCCAGTCCCCGTCCCCATACCACATCTTTTAGTGCACGCCGACAAAATAGCAGAAATATATAATTTATATAGAAAATATTCACTAAACAATATCCGCCACCTCCCCCACCCCCAAGGAAATTGTAAATGCCCCTCCATAAATAATATTAAGCTCCCCTTTCCCAGACAGTAATTTCTAAAAAAAAATCCCAGCGCTCAAAGTTAACAAGAATTTATAACGGAGAAGACTGAGGCATTGGTTAGGTAATAGGGCTATGGTTATGGTTACTGAAAGGGTTATTAATTCGGTCAGTTTAGTTTTCACCAGCAAATGGACGTATTCTCCTTCCCCTTTACGTTAATTGCCAAAAATCCCGCATTAATTATCAGAGTTAGCTAGGAAAGACTCTCCCCCTCCGTTACGTTAATTAGCAATAGAACCTACTATGATGTACGGAATTAACCAGAATAACCCCCCCCCCCCCCTCCCGGTTGCTCCACACTAACCCGGGACAATACAAGCTATTATAATAAACGGAATTTACCAGAATAGGACCCCTCCCCTTTCCCGTTGCTCCGCACTTACTCAATCCCCCCCCCCCCCTCTACCAACTCCACAATCTACTACCATGTATATAGTTGACAAGAAACAAAAAAAAATTGCATGCACCCCCCCCCCTTTCCTCTCTAGATACATCACACTATATGATTTACAAATTTAACAAGAAACAAAAACTCACTCTCCTCCTCTGTGAGGTCCTCACCCATACACTGTAGCACCGCCCTCAGGTCAGAGGGTGTGATGTAACCACAGCCAGACTTGTCGAACACCTGGTGGGGGAGACATTAATGAGACCACACACATACAATAGACAGGTATACCGTTACACCTGGTGGGGAGACATTAATGAGACCACACACATACAATAGACAGGTATACCGTTACACCTGGTGGGGAGACATTAATGAGACCACACACATACAATAGACAGGTATACCGTTACACCTGGTGGGGAGACATTAATGACACTACACACACCCAATAGACAGGTATACCGTTACACCTGGTGGGGGAGACATTAATGACACTACACACACCCAATAAACAGGTATACCGTTACACCTGGTGGGGAGAGATTAATGAGACCACACACATACAATAGACAGGTATACCGTTACACCTGGTGGGGAGACATTAATGACACTACACACACCCAATAAACAGGTATACCGTTACACCTGGTGGGGAGAGATTAATGAGACCACACACATACAATAGACAGGTATACCGTTACACCTGGTGGGGAGACATTAATGACACTACACACACCCAATAAACAGGTATACCGTTACACCTGGTGGGGAGAGATTAATGAGACCACACACATACAATAGACAGGTATACCGTTACACCTGGTGGGGAGACATTAATGACACTACACACACCCAATAAAACAGGTATACCGATATAAAAGTAAAGTTAAAATTTAAAAATTGCTTTGTCTTACCCAAAAATCCACCTTACCCTAAACATCACCTTACCCTCACCCCCCCCCCCACCCGACTTCTCAAATTCACCCCAACTTACCCTCAACCCACCCCCCCCCAACTTCTCAAATTCACCCCACCTTACCCTCAGCCCCCCCCCCAAATTCTCATTCACCCTACCCTACCTTACCCTCGACCCCCCCCCCCCCCAACTTCTCACACTCACCACACCTTACCCCCCCCCACCCACACCAACTTCTCACACTCACCACACCTTACCCCCCCCCCCCCACCCACACCAACTTCTCACACTCACCACACCTTACCACCCCCTCAAGTTCTCAAATTCACCCTACCTTACCCTCACCCTCACCCCCCCACCTTAACCTGACTTTACCTTATACCCCCTTACCTTCATCTCACCCCCACCCTAACCTAACCCTCGCTCCTTACACCCCCCCCACCTTACCCTCACCTCTCCTTACCCTCCCACTCCGTATCCTCCCACATTACCCTCCCTCCGTACCCTCCCCACCTTACCCTCCCTCCTTACCCTCCACCTTACCCCCCTCCTTACCCTAAACGCCTGCCTGAGTTCCTCCTCCTCATCCTCCTCACTGTTCTCACTGATCCCTCCCACATTTGCCATCACCTGTACAAACTCCTCGAATGAAAACGTGCCATCGCCTGGTGGGTGAAATGTTTAACAAAAAAATTAAAGTTTCTAGAAAAAACCACAACCTTAGCACCAATATCATGCACATGTTAATAAAGTTTTTACAACTAAATTAGAACGTAAGATGCTTATTATTTTTTACGTCTTTTAGAAGAAAATAAAATAAAACAAAAAAAGTCGAAGTTTGTAGTAATCAAAACCAACCTTTGTGCAAATAACAAGAACATGTTAATACATTTTTTAAAATTAAATACAAAGTACCATAATCTTTTACTTTTATTTTATATCTATGTCAGGATGATAGATGCGTATCAATTATTATTTATTTTACATCTTTTAGAAGAAAACAAAAAAAGCTTGCAGACAAAACTACAATCTTAGCTCAAATAACAATTACATGTTAATAAAGTTTAATATAAATACAAAGAACTTAATATTTTTTTATTACAACTATGTTAGGATGTTATAATAATATGTTTATTTAATTTAATTTCGTTTACATCTTTTAGAGAGAAAACGACAATATATACACACAAAAACGAGTATATAGTAAATGAATAACCGGTATAATACGTTTCAATTGTATGTATTACTTTGTACAGCTACATTTAACATTATCACACCCCATTATAATAATAATTTCATATAATTTAATATATTTTAATTTAATATAATATTTAATATAATATATAATTTAATATAATATAATTATAAATGCCCCTAAATATTTATATTTTCAACAAGTACTACTATATTTTTTTTTGCATTAGCTTGAACTGTTAAAGAATTACTTTCAAAAATTCAACATAAAATGTCAAAACGTCTTTGGTCCAGACGTGTTACATTGTTCTTGAACAATAGAGCTGGTAAGTAGGTCACCAACCAGTTATACGGCTCAATAAAACCTGCATGAGCCATAGAACTGGTTGGTGACCTACTTACCAGCCCTATAGGAGATAAATTATTTATCTTCTTAAGCTTAATTTACTCATATTATTTTGAAATTAAATAATACGGGCGTATTTTTACGTGTTCTTTATATTGAATCATAACGGGGGTAGAAGTGAGAAGCAAGAATGACCACATGATCTTCAAACCTTATCATCTAAGCCCTAAGCCTATGGCCGGCGCTACCTATAAGGCGAACTAGGCGGTCGCCTAGGGCGCCATCCCTAGTGGGGCGCAAAATGATTAATCGCTATTATCAAAAACTACCTAATATCTAATAACTTTTATAAAGGAGTCGCGATCTATTTCGGCACCCAGGACGAACTATCAATTTGGCACCCCCAAAATTAGGTCTATAAAGGTCTATATTTATTCGCGATGGTAAATATGCAACCCCACATCCTTAATTTGGAAAGGTCGGGGCGCTTTTTACCAGTCACTTTGCCTTTTTAATTTGGTGACACATAATGGATGTAGAAAACGATTAAATTTTTTTAGTTTGTAATTTAAATTTCGAACATTTCAAATGGTTATTTAATTTTAATAGGGATTGTAAGTCTCGTTTTCTCTGACTTTAGATTAGAAATCTGTCCTGGTGTATAGAGTTTTGTAATGACGGGGTGTTCAAGGTATTGTCACTTGTTTGGTAAGTTTTGATGATTCGTTTAGATTTGAGAGTAACGGCGGAAGGCTGTTGCTATGATTTCGTAGGTATAAAGTATCGAAGTGTTAAAGTGGCTGTTATTTGGCTGTTGTGTAGTTGTAGGTCTAGTGGAATCTGATTGGTAATAGAGAAATGAGAATGCATGTAATGAAGTATCGTAGTTCTGGAGTTCGGGAGTATTGATTCCTGTGGTATTAAAGTATGGAATTAGATTGACTTTTAAAGTGTAGTAGTAGGTCCAGTGAAATCGTTGATTTAGAGTACCGTTGTTAGAGCTTGGTGAAGTTAAACGAGTTGGTGTTGTAGTTTGATATGTGTTGTGAACGCAGTAGAGTATATCGAGTAGTCGAGCTTATCGTAAGTTAGATGATTTCAATTCAATACGGAACGCATTACAAAGAAAGGGAGGCTTTCTCATGTAGAAAAATCTTTAGTTTTTTAGGAATCTATATTACCACTCTTAAAGTATTAATATATAATATCAAACAGGATCAATGTTTTTAACTAACAGAGCTACCCGTGTTTGATTGTTGGAAAGGCGTCCCTTTATTAAGGGGATCCAAAAGTTTAGATAAATCGCGATGTATGTGTGACGTGATATACAATGGAAGTATTTTTTCAAAATTTAACAGGAATAGGTTATAATAAAGCTACAAATTTAAGGTTTTCAAATAAAACCTACAGTTAAGCAATCAATAAGTAAAATATATTGTTTTTACAAGATTACATAGGTGATATAAATGAAATATTAAAATATTATAACGTAATGAAATTTTGATTGTTTTATTGTGTTTTTAAGCATGTCTTAGTTACACTAGTGTATTTTAGCTATTCTTGTAAAAGTTATTTCCCTTGAATAAAATTTTGGTATTTGGATTTTAAAAATGGGAGATAATTCCTTGCTTAACTTCACATTCATTTCAAATTCCTGCACTTTAGGTTGACCGCTTGTATATAAAAATGCAACTTCTTTAAGTTATTATTTGCTAAGGTAAAATTATATAGAGCTTAAGTTATAAGCAAAATAGTTTGGTATTTTTGTTTAACAAACAAATACATCAGTAGCCGTTATAGATTGCAATACTTAATGTTAGTAGACAACCGGTCTTAGTCATTAATTAAACATCTAATTAATTGTCTTTTCATATTTTTCACCCTCTCATAAAAGATTCATATATAACAATTTTAGGCATCTATATTATTTATAACCTTTTAAAAACCAAAAAATCGTTACATAATCACACAATAATCACTTTTAATTAATTGTTTCTTATACATATCTTATACATATGTTTAAGTAATTAATTTGTGTGAAAGGGGGCGTTTTAATAAGTTTTGCCTAGGGCGCTAAATAACCTGGCGCCGACATTGCCTAATCCTAAAGCTCTAACCACACAACCACACACACACACCATCTAAATTAATCTCCCTATTCTAAAAATACAACCGCACACCTACACACATCTATATCAATCTCCCTACTCTAAAACTCTAACCACACAACCACACACACTCACCGTCTATATCAATCTCCCTAAACTATAAACACACACGGAGTCCATGGCCTCAATGGCGCATAACAAGTTGACACGTATGCTTAATTATATTGGAGGGGATCCCTTCCAACACTAAAATTAAGAACGAAGAAGAATCACACACTTAGCATCTATATAAATCTCCCTACTCTAAAACTCACGCCACACAACCACACACACCATCTATAGTAATCTCCCTAAACCCCAACCACAAAACCACACAACCACACAACGACACGACCACACACTTACCATCTATATCAAACCCCTAATTTTTAACCACATAACCACACACACTTACCGTCCATATCAAACTCCCTAAACTTTAACCACATAACCACAATTATACCCACACTTACTGTCTACATCAAACTCCCTAAACTTTAACCACAATTACACACACACTTACCATCTATATCAAACTCCCTAAACTTTAACCACAATTACACCCACACTTACCGTCTATATCTAACTCCCTAAACTTTAACCACATAACCACACACACACTTACCATCTATATCAAACCCCTAAACTTTAACCACATAACCACACACACTTACCGTCTATATCAAACCCCCCTAAACTTTAACCACATAACCACACACCCACACAACCACACACCCACTTACCATCTATATCAAACCCCATAAACTTTAACCACATAACCACACACCCAAACAACCACACACACACACACTTACCATCTATATCAATCTCCCTAAACTCTAACCACACAACCACACACCCACACAACCACACAACCACACACCCACACACCCACAAACCCACACAACCACACAACCACACACAACCACACACACCCACTTACCATCTATATCAAACCCCCTAAACTTTAACCACATAACCAAACACCCACACACACACACACACTTACCATCTATATCAATCTCCCTAAACTCTAACCACACACCCATACAACCACACACCCACTTACCATCGATATCAATCTCCCTAAACTCTAACCACACACCTACACAACCACACACACACACAACCACACACCCACACAACCACACACACACTTACCATCTATATCAATCTCCCTAAACTCTAACCACACACCCACACACCCACACAACCACACACTTACCATCTATATCAATCTCCCTCAGCATCTGATTCAGCTCGTCCATAGAAGGAAACTGCCCCAAGTTGCGCATGACCGTCCCCAGCTCTTCCGTCGAGATGGAGCCGTCGCCATCTTTATCAAACAGCTGGAAGGCTTGCCTCAGCTCTGGGGAGAGAAGCGGGTCTTTACGCTTCTTGGGTGACCTGGGTGAGGGTGGGGCCAACAACAGGGCCGGGGGAATATACTTGGCCATTTGTTATGCGTCGTTCACAAAATTTTAGCTCAGTTTTTAAATGTCCGAAATAAATTGTGGCTAAAACCGTGTCATTGTCTTGGTAACTTAGTTACACAAACGTAAAAAACACGCCTTAAAAATTATTTCCGTAAAAAAAATTATTATTTTGCTAATTTGAGGTAGGTATGATAAATTGCATTATAAATTAAGTTAATATTTTGTTTTATTTTTAAGCAATAAAAAATATAATAATCTTGAAATTTTGTTTTTTTTAATGTTATATCTTTCAATTCCTGAAACTCTTTATATCGCTAATTTTTCTAAATAGTTAATTATATGAAATTGTATTTAAAAATATGATATGACAAAGAAAAGAAGGAAAAAAAATTAAGATTCAAAATTATTAGAAAGCAAAATATAATGTGAGGTTATAAAACCATAGTTAGTATTTATCTTGTTAGAAGGGAAAAAACGTCAATACATAAAAAAAAAACACGTATGAATTTTTTTAGATAATATAATTGATTTAAACACACAGTATATCATAAACACTTGTTAAAATCATTTTTAAAAAACGGATTTTAACACACAGTAATACCAAAAACGCAATTGTTAAATTTTTTATAAAAATTTAGAAAAAACGGATTTAAAGACACAGTAATACCAAAAAACACACTTGTTAAAAATCTTTAAAAAAACAACTGATTACACACAGTAATACCGAAGAACAAGTTATATTCTTTAAAATACCTGATTTAAGCCCGCAGTAATATTAAAAACACACTTCTTAAAATCTATTTTTAAAAACTGATATAAATACTCAGTAATACTAAAAAACACGTGTGAAAGTTTTGAAAAAAAACTATTTAAACACACAGTATCGATACACATGAGAACCGGTTCACACAACACCTGGAGAGAAAGCAAATACGAGGAGAGAAAAAAATGTGTACGGCGTATGTCGACAGTCTGGAACTTAATGCCAGGAAATTATCCGTGCCTGTAGCCACGGCGACAGATTCCTCAGACCAAACCGTCAATACGGTGCTGCGTCTTGGGTTTTTTTCCCTAATGCGACATATTTTTTTCCTAACGTCGTGACATTTGTTTTGTTTGAATGGTGTGACCTTTGTTCTGTTTGAATAGTGTGACATTTGTTATGTTTTTTTTCAAAGTGACATTTGTAGTGTTTTCATAGTTTGACATTGGTTGTGTTTTATATTGACATTTGTTGTGTTTCATAATGTGTCATAAGTTGTGTTTTCATAATGTGACATTTGTTATGTTTGATTAATATGACGTTTGTTTTGTTTTCAAAATGTGACATTTGTTGTGTTTTATCATATGACATTTGTTGTAGTTTCATAGTGACATTTGTTCTGCTTTCATAATGTGACATTTGTTCTAATTTTATAATCTGACATTTGTTCTAATTTCATAATGTGACATTTGTTCTGTTTTTATAGCGTGACATTTGTTCTATTTTTACTCACACACACACGTCTTTGTCTCAACCAATTATTTTCTATAGCTCCACGCAGCACCCCCCCCCCATCTATCCCACTAACGCTACCACTTGTTTAATCCATAACGCTAGAAGTTGTATATCTACCCAACCCCTCCCCGCCCCCAGAAGAGATACTCCTTTACTCCCTTTACCTCGCTACTCCGGTCATTGTGCTCAGAGACAGCTGATCCTCCTAATAGATTACAAACATGTGACTATTTTTAGCTCTCATATTGATTGACTGGAGTAGAAACAATGTCAGATGCTACTCTACAGCGTACTGACGGTAGTCATGACTTATTTCTGACACAGCCAGGGGCGTTGCTAGGTGATTTTCCCAAGCAGGGATACATCATCATCTTTTCCCTGTTGTGCCCAAGATACATGGGGCCGCTACAGAAAGCTCCCTCCACTTTTGCCGGTATCTGGCAATGTTCCTGGCAGTCCCACCATGACTACTTCCGTCTCTGCCTGCTGCTTCCCGGCCGTGCGCCTCCAACCTTTGGTATTTCTTGCTTTCTTTTTCCTTGAGGTGTCCAGTTTAGCACAATTCCTGCGATATCTTCTGGGTTCATTTTTATCGCCATCTTTTATTTATTTATTTTTTTGGAAACTGCTTCCGTTTCCATCTCTCCTTGTAGTCTATAAACGAAGATGGTGTTATGCTAATGGATGACTTTTATCCTTCGCTAAATCTTTGTTTGTATAGAGTCCAGTGATCTACTGGTGGTGGTGGTGGTTACTTTCCAACTTTCGCTGCCGCACAGACGTTAAGACCATTACTTTAAAAAAAATATGCAGTTGGTTTTTGGAGGATATTTTGTTTTTCGATCGCCATGTTTTTATTTTATTTTGTGCATGGATGTATCTTTAAAGCCAAACAAGCCTTGTCAACCAAACAAGGATTAAGAGTAGTAAATAAATTATTAATAAACAGATGCTAAGATTATAAAGCCGTGTGAAGTCGTGATAAAATAACCCGTATTGATGATTATGGTCACATAGTTCTCTATGAGACACTAACAGAAAAACATGCCATCGAACCTTTGTTATTGTCTAATTTTTTATTGGCCACGGCAAATAAGAACTTCGACAGCTGATGTTTTTAATTTCTGGATAAGCTTGCTTTTGGCTTTCCTTACTGGCAGAAGGAGCCTGTTTTAAAAATGTTGTCGCATAAAAAAGGTCGGAGGTGTGTGGGTGGGGGAGGGTGTTCCCCTTTGGCTAAGCCTCTGGACAAAATTATACAATAAAATATACAAGACAATGGTTAAACACAACGCAAGCTTAACATGAAAGTTACAAGGTCGGGAAACTATTACATTGGTAGTACACTTTTGACAAAAACAGATAACTTTCGTTATCATTTTACGTAAAAATTTAATTCGGTTTTAAATCGTCATCGGCACTGTATATATATATATATATATATATATATATATATATATATATATATATATATATATATATATATATATATATATATATATATATATATATATATATATATATATATATATAATGTTTTTCAAACTTATTTTTAAATAGTAATCGATGCTACATTGTAAGATAAATATCGACATAATTTACGCAAGTCGTAGTTTGCAGACAATGGAAGAACATGGAAATAGCTCTCCTATAATTATCGCCTTGTTCGATCTCTGCCTCCAGCAAGACGGTATCGATTTTTCGTTAACATCACACCGAGCCAGGTGCACGATAGAACTAATTCCCAGGTATCGGAAAAACGAAGTGTGCGTCTTTTCATGGCTGCCGACGTTTAGAGCTAGTTGTCCAATTATCGTAAAGTTTTGGTTGTCAGAGGCGTGGATTGGTGGGTTCAGTGGAATTGTAAGGTAGTGTGGAGGGGAGTCTTTTGTAGCAAGATAATGTGAACGTTAACATCCATCATAGAAGTAGAGCCTTCGGATATATGCAAATGTATATATATATATATATATATATATATACACACACATATATATATATACATATATATATATATATATATATATATATATATATATATATATATATATATATATATATATATATATATATGGTCAAACAAAAATAATGAGAAGTAAAAGTAATTAGTTGTTGTAAGGGTGAAAGGTTAAAATATTAAAAATATGAAAAAATAAGTGTAAGTAATAAAAATCATGTGAATGGTAATGAAGAAATTTAGAAAACACCAACAATAACGAATAAAAAAATAAAAGTCAAGGGGGGGGGGGGGGAAACGTATTTCCCATTTTGATTAATGACAGTTATTGGGTTTTAGAAAATATTATAGTATAAAAATATGATATGATGATAAAAATATGTTGATTAGTAGAAATGAAATAAAACCATTAAAAGCTGCATTAGATGTATTATATATTGATTTTAATAAATAAATATAAATATATATATATATATATATATATATATATATATATATATATATATATATATATATATATATATATATATATATATATTTAATTATGTAAGCAGCTTGAGAAGGAATAAAATTAAATACATTATTACTTTCTCGTATATACGTAGTATAGAGAAAGTATTGTAATCGTGCAAAAAAAAAAATCGAGATTTTTACAAATCTCGACGTTTTACACCTCACTGATACGGAAAAACATAATTTTGCAATCTTGTCCGTATGTCTGTGTGTGTGTGTGTCTGTGTGTCTGTCCGTGTGTAAACACGATAACTTGAGTACCGTTACAGCTAGGTTGATGAAATTTCATATATAAGTATTTTATCAAAATCGTAGATCCGTATCAACTTTTGAGCGATTTCCGATAACCGGAAGTGGTACTTTTCCTACTTTGAATTTTTCAAAAGCCTATAACTTGAGTACTATTTCAGATAGATAAATGAAATTTCACATGTAAGTAAAAGATCTAATTCTCTACCTTCTGTTAAATTTTGAGTAATTTCCGTTGACTGGAAGTAGTAATTTACGCTACTTCCGATTTCTCAAAAAACTAATGTAAATTTTTAAAGTACTAATAATATTGCGCACTATTATACGCGTTTTTATTCGGCGTTTGCTTGGTGCGCAATGGTTTTTTTATGAGATTCTATTCTATTTTTAAAAGTTTAAGTATTTAAAATGGATTAAAAATCATAACTATATCCCCAGTTACCATCCCCTGTTGTTTTATATAAGAATATTCGAGAAAGTTTAGGGGAGATCACTACCGGTTTATTTTAAACCTTTGAAATAGAAAAAAAAACATTAAAGGGTTATTACACTGTGATGTAAATCTTACTTACCCCGGATATTATGTGCTTTTATTTTCTTGCCTTTTACTACAAACGTTCATTAAAATGTAATGAATGTTTATTCAGAGTGAAAAAACTAAATTGGCAATGTAAACATTCTGTTTCAGGGGAGATAGCTCCTGCTTACTTAATATAAATTTAACGGTTATTTCCCTTACTTTTAAAATATTTTTTTAAAATTTCTAGACATTAATAATTTGGTTTTGTAATTATTATTATTTTTTTGTTTTTTTAAGTGTAGTCTTGATTTATAAACAAAATGCACAGGCTGAACTTATCGTGCTTACTATAAAAAAAAAGATTTGCAATATTCAAAATAATTTAATCATTCTATCACATTCTAAAACAATTATTAAAAAACCACTACACTAGTCTACACTGTTACGTTTACATAATTAATAACTAGATTAATTAAAATTATCACTACTAAAAACAGTTTTACAACTAACTGAACTAAGGACAAGTCTAGTTCTACATAAAGACTTATCAAATTTACTAAATTTAAACAAAACAAAAAACCAACCTACTAACTATTTAACTACCTGATTCTAACTTAACCCAAACTCACCTCGAATCTGTGTATCAGAGTACTTGTTCAATATGTTGGTCTTGTCAACCTGTAACAGAGAAACAAGGTATGGATTCATTTTTTTAATTTGGTTAATACTTTTAAAGTTAGTAAAGTTAAAGCATTCTAAATTGTTTGTATATATAGTTTTTAAGTGTGTATAAATAGCCTCATGGTTACATGGTTGAGGAGGATTATACAAGAAACGCATTTAGAACAATAGCTATCTCACTCACACTTGTTTTGGCTTTTACATTATTTTTGTTCATTTTAACAGATTAGAATCACACAGCTAATACAATATTTACTACCCCTCAACGCGGGGAACTAGAGTTGGTTTCTAAATAGAGGTTCCAATCGTCGACTTTATATCTTTAAAACATTGGTTTCACCTGAGATTTTACATAATTCCTGGGTCTATTGGAGTGCCAGACACAAGTAGAATGACCGCTTGACCGTAGATACATTAGAGGACAAAAATCGCTAAAATACCGGGCATTCACAAAAAGATCATATGGTTAATTACAGTCAGCGGAAGATTTTAGAAGCTTCACTTTCTAACAAATTTACAGCAAGGAGGAGTTACTAGTTTCAATTACGATAACAGAATAATAACAATAGCAAAGGGGTGTTGTTTTATGTTTGTTCAAAACACAAGAAAGAATGAAAGTGCAGAGGTTAATTAGCAGCTGTACTGCAGTTTCGGCTAATGATGTTCAATATAATAATATAAAATTTTAAATGGTATTTGCCATGTATGCATATATATATATATATATATATATATATATATATATATATATATATATAGTTATACAGTCTTATAATTAAGCTACAGAAATAAAATTTTTAAAATTTGGCAAAAACTGCTTCTTCTGACCAATTAAATTATTCACGTTAATAACCTAATTACTCAGCAATTTAGGCTAATTCCAGACACGTTAGCCCATTCCATTAACGAGACTTCGCGCGCTCTTTTAACCGACGGCCAAACCTCGAGTGGGGACTTATTGAGTGCAGAAACATCTGTTTTCTAACGGAAATTTCTAGCCAGTCGCCGGTGACGTCACCATTTCCTTAAGGGGTGAGCGATAGATAGATGCGGAACTGGGAGTGAGTATGCCTTAGGGGCCAGCACGAATCACAATATGGGTCAGAGGCGTAGCGACCCTTCCCGGCGCCCGGGGACAAACTTTTCGATTTGCAACCCCCTCAAGATTTTGATTTGCACCCCCCTCAAGATTTCGATTTGCCCCCCCCCCCCCTCATCCTTTCAATTTATTTTCCCGACCCATTTTGCCCCTCCCCCCCCAAAAAGTCCGCGCCCGGGGACATATGTCCCCCCCCCCCGCCCCCCCCCCCCCTCTCTACGCTACTGATATGGTTACATTTTCTATCCGCCTTCCTTCTCTTTTATACCTTTATAGCAATGCCGATTACAACTCTTCCCTTCCCCCTCCCCCTACCCATACAACCACCATTTTCTAATTTAAATGAACGACAAGCAGTTATGAAAACATACCACCCAGTTTTTTATAATTTAACTTTTTTTTTTAAAACCCAATGTACAAATATGTATATTTATATATTTCTCTCTCTCTCTCGCTCTCTCTCTCTCTCTCATATAAATAAATATATATATATATATATATATATATATATATATATATATATATATATATATATATATATATATATATATATATATATATATATATATATATATATATATATATGGAGAGAGCATTGTGAATGAACGTGTAATATATATAAATAATATAATATGTATAATATAATAAATAAATGTATACACACATAATAGCCTATATATATATATATATATATATATATATATATATATATATATATATATATATATGTATATATATATATATATATATATATATATATATATATATATACATATATATATATATATATATATATATATATATATATATATATATATATATATATATATATATATTTATATATATATATATATATTATAAAGGGAGAGAGTACTGTTTAACCTGTCCCGCCACCCCCGCGGCTATAAATAAATATCAGACTGAATGTATGAGACGTCGTGTCGCCTGGAGCTATTACGTCACGCACATAGATCTAAAAATAGCCGCGCTAATCGCCTTAGTTTCGCAAGCAGCCACGTGTAGCTATTTTCAGATTTGCTTTAACCCGTTTTGTGCTGAAAGTCTTAGCTTAATTTAATTAGTTTTAATTTTATAATATTCAATGAAATTTTTGCTTGATAATTATTAACCTTCGAACCGCACCCGAAGTTCTTATCAGTTTTTCTCGTTGGTTCCAAGCATCAACAATACATGACGTCAAGTTCTCTCCCCCTTTTCTATCGTCACTAAAACCCTTACTCCCAACTACAATGAAATCAGACTTCAACATAATACATACCCCCCCCCCCCCCCACCCAGTGATTTCTTTCTCAGGTATTAACTGCGATATTTCTTTCAGACATTTTCCTACTGAAAGGGGTGGGGCAAATATTAGGGGTGTGGACACTTAAATTTCCGAGGGCGAAAGTCGGACAGTGTTTAAAATATATGTTCTAAATAATATACATATTTTCTATTTCGTTCGGAATGGGTAGGGGTTGGGATTATACCCCTCGCCCGAAGAGCGGAAGAGAAGACTGAAAGAAACTCTCTATATTATAACCATTTTCGGCGTAACTACTGCTTAACTCGGATTTTAAAATGTTATATATAAAAATATACAAGTATATGATTACGTTTTTATAAAACAACCATTCTCCCTCGTCATCCATAGTCACATAAGTCAGAAACCCCCCCTTTCCCCCCCCCCCCCCCACACACACACGCTCCCGCCATTTTTTTTGTCTCAAATTTTGAAGTGTGACGTTATTTGTGGACTACCCCTTAAACAACAGTGGACTGGGGGCGAAAACGTGAGAGAGATCGATATTGGTGAATAAATGATGCTAGGACAACGAACCCTGTGTTTAAATCAATTTACAATCGATACATTTTCCATTATCTGTTGTATTTGCCTAAAATGTGTATGTTATTTAAGTTCTCCGTGTGGGCCAATAACTTATATTAGAGTTATAAGATTATTGATATTATTTATATAACTAATCTAATTATTATCAAATTATTTTTTTTTAAGTTAAGAAAAGTAAACTTGGATCAAACTCATAAGCTAATATAGCAGTTAGACTCAATCGATATTGATCTACGAGCAGCGCTGAGGTTAAAAACAGTTTTCTGTTAAATATTTGATCTTGGGGGAAGTTTTTTAGTTATTCTTATAAACGTCATGTTGTATTATGGTTCAGAAATGGACCTTAAATTAGAGTTTGTCTTTGACTTTAGTTAAGGTTGGGTCGGTATTTAAATTTGTGGTCAGTGTGGTCGAAGTTAGTTAGAGTTGTAGTAAACAATTATGTGCTCACACTCTCATAAAAACACACACACATACACACACTCACTAACTTTTACACACACTTTCATTAACTTTCACAACCTCACACACACACACACCACACCACGCACTTTTAAACACACGCACATAAATACACTCACTAACTCTCACACACACTCTTCAATAAATTTCACAACCTCACACACGCACCACACACTTTCATACCCACACACATACACACAGTCACTAACTCTCACACACACTCTACAACAACTTTCACAACCTCACACACACAGACACCACACACTTTCACACACACCCACACACCAATATGTCACTACTACCAGACTAACCCCCTCCCACCAGACTCGTATGTCGATAACTCCGGATCTAGAGTTACCCAGACTTTCTAGAAATATCCACAGACCATCTGGATATTTCCAATGGATATTCATTTCCCTATTTATCCACTACCCTCGTCTGACTCCGTAGGTCAACATTTTCTATATTGACCTATGGGACCTATAGGCTATAAGACCTATAGGATTCACTCCGTATTTTTTCAACTGATTTTTGGGTTATTTCGTTTTCTATTACTAGAGTATAAAACTTGATTATTTATTTTGTTGAACTCTTAAAACGGAGAAAATTTAAACTATTGAATGTACAAAAGGTCTGGTTGATATAGGAGAAATTGTGTTAATCTAAAATGTGAGATCAACTTCGAGGTACATTTATGATAACCTTTCGGGTAATTGCGATTATCTTTCAGGTAAAAAAAATATGGTTAACTTCCAGATAAATACATACTTGATTGCCTCTTATTCCCTTATTTCCGAAGTTAAATCTAGCTCAATGCCATCTAAAACAGGTTTATCTGGGACCATTAAGACGCTGCCTAAAATTAACAGCAGGTATGGCATTAAAAGATCCATATGTAAAGAAGGAAGGGGGAAGCGAAGTATATAGTTGAGAAAATCTAAAAGAAATACAGGGAACGCATTTGGTTTCTGGTAAAGTATTTAACTTTAAATTTAACCATGAATGCATTGTAAGGCAAAAAAGGGAGGTAACAAGTTCCTCCATAGTTGCCCATAATTCTCCTCTAAGGGCGTGTAAATCAGGACCGGGTTCCCTAGGCTGGCTGTCAATAACTCCATATTGTACCTCGGCATCAGGGGAGGGAAATCAGAGCCTAAGCTCTGAATAAAGGCCAGAAGTGTTGTAGAGAAATAGGAGTTAAATTTGGATAGGTGGACAGTGTGAATTAAAACATCAAATTGCAGGTGTTTCATAGATAGTGAAAATCAGTGTGAATTTATACATTTAATTACAGACGTTATATAGGCAGTGAACATAAATTTGGGCATGGATTTGGTATTCCAAGGCAGCAGGGTCGAGTGTGGTAACGAATTGTCTTACCCCTACCTCCTCCAATAATTTAGCATGTTCGGTGTCATATCAGAGCTCACCCTACTCCTTTAGTTTTAACAGGAACAAATTTTATTTAACAATAATTTTCAGATTTTTCAATGTCGTGTCACCACCCCCCTCCTTTATCTTCACACGAAATGGTGCCCCACCCCCGCACCCTCTCCCATTGGTGTCACCCGGTGCGGACCACAACCC